AAGCTATGAGTTATTTTATTGATATGCAGTGTAAGCCTAATCTTAGACGCTGTGTGATCATTTATTGCTGGACCCATTGCAGTTTACTTGGTGAGGAGTCCATTTTTGTATGATTCAAACAAATCTTTCTGATCTTGGACAGTTGTGAGATGGAAACTATTGAACAAGGTGATCACATCAGTTCCGAACTTGTTAAGAATTAATTGGAAGATAAAAGAATAATAAAGTTCCTGGAATAGATAATAGTTCTCTAAAGGATTTGAAGGATGTTAATATTTGGATACATGAGCCACTTGCTTATATATTTTGTTAGTCCTTGGATAGTGGGCTGGTACCAGAAGGTTGGAAGATGGATAATGATCCTCCACTTTTCAAGGAAGTTGATAAAAATTGTCACAGTAATTATAGACTTATTAGATTTACATCAGTTGTGGGAAAAGTTTTGGAAAGTCTGATAAAAGATGCTTTGGAAAGTCATTTAACATTAAGGGAAAATATTGCCTTACAAAAGTCTGTTGACATTCTTTGAAAAGGTTACTGCTTATATAGATGAGGGTAAGAGTGTAAATTTGGTGTTTCTGGATTTTCAGAAAGCATTTGACATGGTGACATATAAAAGGTTTCTTAAAAAAATGATCTTTTTATGTGTGGGAAATAAATTTGTTCTTTGGATATAAAGATGGCTGGATGGAAGAAAGTAGAGGGTTGTTTTAAATGGAGTTCTGTCAAACTGGATTAATGTCAAAAGTAGCCATGACTCAGTGTTGGAATCTGTGCTGTTTTTGATTTACACAACAACATAGATGAAGTAATGAGTAAATTTTGCTTAAAATTGCTGATGGTATTCAAATTTGGTGAACATAAAGATGACATGGTTGCTTTCCTGGAGAGGTATGAAAGATTTGCTCAAAGTCATAACTGGAACAAAGGCAACTGGGCAGTCTGTCTCAACCCACTTCTGACAGGAAATAGCTTACAAGTATATACAGGCATGATGTCAGAAGATGCCATGGGCTATGGCAAATTAAAAGTAGTTTTACTGAAATGATATGAACTTATTGAAGAAGGTTTTTCGGAAGTTCAGAGTAGCCAAAACTGACACTGAAGAAACTGTATTTCTGTTTGTGGCATGTCTGTGGTGATATTTCACCACATGGACTGACATGGCCAGGTGTGAAAATAGTTTTGAGTGACTGGCAAACCTATTATTGCGAGAACAGTTTATGATCACGTGTTCAACCAACATGTCACTATTCTTAAAGGAGAGGCACGAACAGATGTGGAGGAGATGATAAAGCTGATAGAACAGTATAAGGGAGCCTATGGAGGTAGTATAATTGGAAAGTCCAAGAACATCTAGTTAAATTCGAAACCAGTGATAGCTGACCAGAAGCAGGACTTTACCAAAGGTGACAAGAGGTTAATAGATGGAAGGGAGAAGAGATGCTACGTTTGCTATAAAATGGGACACATTGCAAAGGAGTGCTAGTCCATTACCAGCAAACAACAGCAAAAACTCAACATAAAGCAGCTAGAACTATTTACAAAGACAGTGCTGGTAAGAAGCAAGAAAAGAGTGACTGGCACTATGGATGCTGCTGCCAGAAGAAAGAGAATCAAGAGTACTCATCAGATTCAGTACAAGAAAGCATATTGATTAGTGCACGACTAATGGTTGGCTCAGGTTAGCAAACAGAACAACAGAGCCAATAGTGATGGGAGCATGTGACAAATATCAAGAGGTGCCAACAAATCATAATTTGCCTGTATGTGTGAGTTATGTTGGGGACAAGAAAGTGAAGGTTCTATGAGACACTGGGTGCAGTAGTAAAGCAGTGAGAACCAGTCTAGTATCTGATGATCAGATGATGGGTAAGATATGCCTGTTTCTGTTAACTGATGGGGCAGTGAGAAAGTTTCCCATAGCAAAAATAAAGGTGGACACTCCATATTATCTATGATACATTGAAGCCATGTATATCAAGGAACCAATACATGATTTGGTGATAGGAAACATACCAGCCAGTAGGAACTAGACAGAAAGAAGATTGAGGAAGCATCTGTGGTCACCACCAGAGCTCAAGAGAAGAAGAGCAAACAAGGCATCAGTCTCCTGCAAGTGTAAAAATGTGATATCCAGAATGTAGGTTTGCAAGAACTGAAGGAAGCACAGAAAAAAAGACACTTCCCTGCAGAAACTTTGGGACATTGCCTGGGAGAAAGTCGAGCACAAGACAAAGGGGAAATATATTTATAGGCAGTTATAGTGGGGAAGTTAAACAGATCATAGTACCAACAGAATACTTGACTCAAGTGACGAAGTTGGCTCGTGAATCAATTTTTGGAGAACACCTAGGAACAAAGAAAACAGCAGAAAGAATCACCAGTTACTTCCATTAGCCGGGAGTCATCGGAGATAGTAGATTCTGCGAGTTATGTGACATCCATCAAAGGGCAATACCTAGAGGGAAGATAGCCAAAGTGCCATTGGGGGAAGATGCCTTTCATAGAAGAGCCATTCAGCAGAGTAACTGTGGACTTGATCATGCCACAAGCACATGTGTTTGACAAGGGCAACTGGTATGTAATGACAGTAGTCGACTATGCAACATGTTATCCAGAAGCAATAGCACTGGCGAAGATAGACACAGAAAGAGTAGCAGAAACTCTGGTGGAGATATTTTGCAGAGTAGGCTTTCCAAGAGAAATCCTGAGTGACAGAGGGACCCAGTTTACTTCAGAACTGATGCAGGAAGTATGCAGGCTCATCAGTACTCAGCGACTCTTTACCACCCTGTACAATCCTAAGTGTAATGGACTTTGTGAGAAAGTCAGTGAAGGTCTAAAGAGCATGCTAAAGAAGATGTGCCAAGAGAGACCACATGACTGACACAGGTACTACTTGCATGGTGTATTATTTGCTTATCAAGAAGTCTCACAAGCATGTACAGGATTTTCACCCTTCGAGTTACTGTATGGAAGAACAGTACAAGGTCAGATGCAAATATTGAATGTTATAGATGAGAGAAGAAGAGTCAGAAATAATGAACACATACCATGTGTTAAACCTCAGAAACCAGCTGGAGGAGATCTGTCAACTCACTTGAGAGAGCTTGTATGCAGCTCGAGGCAGTCAGAAGCATTTCTATGACAAGAAGGCCAAGGATCGACATTTCAAGGTCATACAGAAGGTCTTAGTTCTGCTGCCCACATACCACAACAAACTCACCCTGCAATGGAAATGACCTTTTGAAGTACAGGAAATACTCAACAGAATGGACTACAAGGTGAGTGTGAATGGGAAGACCAAGATCTACCATGCCAATCTGTTGAAGAAGTATTGGGGGGGGGGCTAATGGGTGCAGCTATTGAAACAGACATGGATGTTGCATGTGTGTCCATCATAAATGCAAAAACAGAAGACAGTGACTTTGTCTTAGAAGATGAGGACCTATTAGATCTAAGACCACTGGGTGGAGATGAGACATACAAAGATGTCGACATCAGTGAAGAACTGACTGGTAAGCAGGAAAAAAAATATCTATGAGACCTACTGTGCCAGTATGCCGATATCTTCATGAATAAACCAGGAAAGATGGACCTTGTGCAATACAAGATCGAGACCACAACCAGGGATCCAGTCAAAGTGAAGCCCTATCAGATGCCTTATGCAATGAGAGACCTGATAAAGCAGGAAGTAGAGGCAATGTTGTGAAGGTACACATATGTTATCCAAGGTTATAGTATGATTACTCTCATGGCTACTCATGTTTACTTTGGTGGTTACAAATGTACACATATGTTATCCAAGGTTATAGTATGATTACTTTCATGGCTACTCATGTTTACTTTGATGGTTACAAATGTACACATATGTTATCCAAGGTTATAGTACGATTACTCTCATGGCTACTCATGTTTACTTTGGTGGTTACAAATGTACACATACGTTATCCAAGGTTATAGTACGATTACTCTCATGGCTACTCGTGTTTACTTTGGTGGTTACAAATGTACACATATGTTATCCAAGGTTATAGTACGATTACTCTCATGGCTACTCATGTTTACTTTGGTGGTTATAAATGTACACATATGTTATCCAAGGTTATAGTACGATTACTCTCATGGCTACTCATATTTACTTTGGTGGTTACAAATGTACACACGGTATCAAAGGTTATAGTACGATTACTTTCGTGGCTACTCATGTTTACTTTGGTGGTTACAAATGTACACATATGTTATCCAAGGTTATAATATGATTACTCTCACGACTACTCATGTTTACTGGTTACAAATGTACACACGGTATCAAAGGTTATAGTATGATTACTTTCATGGCTACTCATGTCTACTTTGATGGTTACAAATGTACACATATGTTATCCAAGGTTATAATATGATTACTCTCACGACTACTCATGTTTACTGGTTACAAATGTACACACGGTATCAAAGGTTATAGTACGATTACTCTCGTGGCTACTCATGTTTACTTTGATGGTTACAAATGTACACATACATTATCCAAGGTTATTGTATGATTACTCTCACGACTACTCATGTTTACTGGTTACAAATGTACACATATGTTATCCAAGGTTATAGTACGATTACTCTCATGGCTACTCATATTTACTGTGGTTACAAATGTACACATACATTATCCAAGGTTATAGTACGATTACTCTCATGGCTACTCATGTTTACTGTTCTGGTTACAAATTAGGTGCAATGCACCTAGCCCATATGGAAAAAGTTAAGGTTTTGTTTGTTCCTTGGCTGTGAGAAGGATGCTTGTTTTTTCAATTTTAGTGGAATGGGACTGCCTAGATGGATCAAAGGTCCCTTGTTGCCCATAGCTTTTATCTTATTTTATGTAAACATAATGAAAAATAAATTCCTTATGTAATACGGTATTATAGTGATGATTTACTGGTAATGGGCATCTTTGATTTTTGTTTAAGAGCTTTCATGACATACAATCTCCATTTTAGGTCCAGAATTTCTTGATACTGTTGTTATCCATTTGAGAGAATTGATTGAAAAACTCAGAACAATTGCCAAGTGGGAATTTCAAGCACCTCATTTGACTCCTCTTTTAAAAAGAGAACACATCTATATTTCCTGCTTAATTTATGGATCAGAGGTATTTACTTTCTACATTTTTATTGACCATTTTTCTTTTTGGTGAAACATAAGAATATATTGAAGTTTAAATAAACTTAGTGGTTTGTTGTTTATTGATGATATGGTGATAAATACATTTTTACTTTGATAATTTTATATTAATACTCATATTCTATAAAACAGGTATGTATAAATAATACAGAAGAAATCAACAAACATAAAAACATAGCCTGTCATTCTTTAACTTCCAGAGGAACTGAGATGACTCTTGGCAAAATTTGCATCTCTATGTATAGAAGGTCTCTCACTATAATGCATTTGCTGTTGAGGCCATTAATTTCATTGATAATCATTTTATAAAGATGTGTGTTTTATTTTACTTTCAAAATTCAGACTCATTTGCATTTTCTTTATTAACCCTTTTTAATTCAAAGGTACAAATTCGTTGTTAACTGCATCCTTCTGTAAAACTCAAATATGCCACAAGTTTTTTAAACTTGGTATACAATCACTTTTGTGATAAAACATGATAATTAATCACCTGCATAGCTCTTAGTTTTTTAAAGCTATTTTCAGTTTATAAAAAAAATAAAAAACAGTACAAGTAGGCGCATATTGCTGCATGGTTATGCTGTGTAACCATAGCTGCTAGCACTGTGCTATGGTCTATGATGGTTGCCCTAAAGCTAATAGCTTTAAGTATGAAGAAAAATGTTCTAATCAAATCAGTTGAAAGAATGAGAAGATGGAGTCCTTATAACTTATGAAGTTGAAGTTAAAATTACATCTGCCAAAGAATATGCCAGTTATATTGGCTTCTTTGAGATGATACAACAAAGTCCTATGCCCTCAATAAGAGGGTCAAATTTCACAATACCTTATATAAGAAAGACAATGACATACACACATGGGAATTAATACATGAATAGGAAATAACTGGATGAATAAGATAATGTAAATTAGGTTTCTCTTTGTTCAGAAGGCAAAATGAACACTTTTCATTACTTTCAATATATTTTTTAAAATATTCATCACTTTTTGGCTATTATATCAGGTGAGGTGAATGAGCTATCATGTGGTATTTTCATGTGGCTTTATTTTCATGCAATTTATTGTCATTGATGAAACCTGTTAAAAGTTCACAGTGAACAGTTGCGTGTCAACTGTATGTGAACAGCTGTGTGCAAACTGTATGTGAATGGTTGTGTGTAAACTGTATGTGAACAGCTGTGTGCAAACTGAATGCTGTTTAGTTTGTTATGGTACAAAGCGTGAAGCAAAGTACTTGTGGGTGCCTTGCATATGGGGTGTTTTGTGGTGCATACACAGTACCCTGGGGAGGGGTGTCAAATTTCATGTGTCCTGACAAATTCTCATGCATACAGGACCTGGGAGTTTGGGTTACCTAGAACCCTGATTTTGCCATTTGATGTTACAGAAGGGTGGTGAGTTCAACTATGTAGATCAGAGTGCGCATGTTACAACCTTTCATGGAATTACACAGTAGTTTAATTAAACTACATAATTATCAGTGTATATTAATAAACTCTGCTTCATAATAATGTAGATGATAAATCAAAGTTTAATATTATTTAAGTTTTAAGTTCTTAACTTTATAAGAAAATATTTTTTAAAATTCTCAATCTCCCTAGTACGAAAACTGTGATGTTTGTTATCTACATCTTCCCTGTTCTCTAATATTTTTTACCACCCTCTAAGAAGTACGAAACTTAATGTCAATTACTCACTATAATGTAGTCATCGCTCAGGCAAAGCATATTTTACATAACATTCAATCTTATTGAGTTACAAAGCAATAAAATAAAAAATCAGACCACTCTTGTTACCCCCACCTGTCACACCCTTTCTTTCAGAACTTCCCAATAGTTCTCTCTGTGACATTTAAAACTGTACTATTTATAGCATTAGAAAGCCAAAGTTTTCTCTGTCAAATGATGTATTATATTACATTGTTTTCTGTACAGAGAACTGTTTATTTTCTTTCCAGTTCAAACTTTATTCCCATGAGCTTAGATGAATTTTTAATGGTTTTTGTCACACAGTTAGAAAACCAGAAAAACTGTGATAGTTATGGAACATTGTTTCATTTTTGCATGTTATTATTCTGTGTTATTTGGTGCATTATTATTTAATTAAATAA